AGTTTTAACATTGGCTGTTGAAATAAATATTCTCCCAGCTAGCAGTAAATGTTTCCACTTCCTGTTTTTAAGCTCATTGTACCAGAAGCACTCGTCAGGAAAATATTAAGATACGCGTGAATCACATTTCCATAGTGTGTTGTCCAGAAAATCCTCAACGTTTCTGGTAAGAATTAAATTGTACTTGTGTATTTCGCAATGCATATAGATAATGTAACTCGTGTATCGATCAGTGGCAGGAAAAAGATATTGGACCTTAACTGGAATATTCAGCTATTCACTGAATATAGTAACGCCTCGTTATCATTTATTCTGATCATACCAAAACTTTCTTAAGAGAAAAGACTTAGATACCGTAAAAAGTTGGAAAGATTATTCAAAATTTAATCTAAGACGATTTAAAGTTTTTGGAAATTCGTGAAGCAATTCGATAGTTGTTTAAAGTTATTGTCCTCTAAGGAAATGTGCTTTCTTTAAATTTTTCTTCAATTTTACTTGAAATTTTTGAATAATCAAATGTACTCAAATAAATATCATCAATTTAAGTTAAAAAAGATTGTGATATTTATTTTTGATTTACATTGATAAACGGTTAAAAGTAATCGGGGATTCGACTGTGATGAGATGAGGTAGAAGATTGGTTTGAATCACCAGAAGATTAATTCTTCCGTCATGGAGAATATTACCTATCGTATCGAATTTCTCCCCCTCGAATTGAGTTTTAACCCTATTTTCGTTTCTTGGCAGCGGCGCCATCGAAGAAACGTTTTATTCTCGTCCGACTGCTTATTATATCATCGCGGTTAACGATTTCGATTTAACAGTGATAATTGTACGTCTGACAGGGTATAATTTTCCAGATGGCAGTGAACAAAAATGTTTGCAAAATATATAAGTGGAAAAATCCAAATTTTTATACTATTCTTATAAGATACTCCATTTATTGAAAAGATAAACAAGTATCAAATTTTGCTACTTCGCAAATCTGACACTCTCTTTTAATGATACGTATAATTCGAGTAGTTTATTATCGTCCTAAAAAATTATAATTAGGTCATAGGTATAATTATACTGTGAATAACAAATGTGGAATGACCGTAAAAAGATAAATATAAAATTAAGATCTTCAAGATCTGTTTAGTATCCTGTGCAGTGCAGTGGAACCTCCAGGTCAGAATTAATAGAGATAGAAGAACATTTACCTTTCTTTATAATTGTTACCTTAATAATAATATATACATAGTACTCTTTTATATGGATTCCGATATTTTTTACTGCAAAGTCATTCAGATTATTTCTAATTACTTTCTATTTCTGCTTTAAACTATCCTTTTCTCGATTCCATAAACGCTTTCAGGTGAAGATGTCTTCAACTCTATATCTCGTAACTTCTGCACTTCATTGCAGTATTACCTCCGAAACTGTTACACTAAAGGTGTTGACGCATATAATACCAACTACTTGCTGAAATGACGTAGAAAATATATTACTCGAACAATATAACCTTTACACGGTGGAAGATTCGAGTACTAAAATATTTAGATAGCCAATTTTCGTATAATCGAAGTTACCTCTACCGTATTTCCTGAAATTTCATTTATCGATAAATTTCCTCGTGTTATCGCGTTTCGAGTAACCATTGTATTAACGCAAACACGAGCAACGTATTGTTGGAACGAATTTGCATTCGCAATGGCTCTCGGAATTTCGACGGCGTCCTTAAAACGTCATCAACGCCTGTACTCTCCTTGTGCTTTCGGTATTGAACGAGCCCGAGAGGATGGCATGAGGAGGTCAGACAGGCGCTGCGTTTGCCCCAGTTCGTAAGCTGGTTTATCCAAAGACTTTATTCAGCTTCTTTTTTTAACGCGTAACCAGCGACCTGTACGCACGTACAACGCGTCTCAATCATCGAAGGCACATTTTCTCTCGTTGTGCAACGCCAACGATCCACGAATTCGTACGAAGATTCCACGACAGCAAATAGAGTGTCCCCTCTATCTCAACGTGGTCAACCTCTGGCTACGAAACCGGGCATGCGTGCATGTACACTGGGTCGCTTGTAAATTTCGAACTACCATCGTGGCTGCTTCATTGTGAAACACGACAAAGCAGTAGTAAGCCACTGCTTGTATCTTGTTGTCGTCTAGAAATAGTAATACGTGTGAATGGTTCTGTACTATTATTCGAATGGATCTCCGGTATATGCTATTTTTCTGAATGAGATGTTGACACTAAAACGAGTACGGTTGGACGTTCATTTCGACGTAAATTTTAGATTGTGAAATATAACGGAGGAGCTATCTCGGGTGTTATTTTGATATTGTCTGAAAGCGATTTATCTCAAGTAATTTAGAAATTTTAAATGATTTATATGGATCTGTATTTATAACACAAGGCATTTGCACTCGTTTTTCTTACAGGCTAAGATGTAGGTAAGATCCTTTTTATTTTTCATGCTTAAAAGAATTTGAAGGTCGTAAAAGTATACCCAATGAAATTTGTTACGACATTTTTTATAAACTTATGTTAAAAATGTGAACCATATTATAAAAAAGATATAGACAGCCTTGAAATTAAAAAAAAATTATATCGAAGGTCCTTCACGATCAAATAACCACTTAAAGTGTTTCATTTTACTCTTGCAGGGAACCGAAATATTTTAAACGATAAAGGCTATGCAGTGAGTTGAAATCGAACTAACTGAGTCGAGTAAGCTCGAGATAAAAATTAAAATATCCAACATATCAGGAAATGCAACGTAAAAAATTGTTCAATTAAAAATCATTCGGACACTGCGCACAAGAGACCTACTTTACCAACAAAAATCTTCAAACCAAAATTCGCCTGTTATTTCGTGCTCTTTTTAAACCAATTATCGTTTGCACGGTACCCCAGCGATCTCTGTCTTTTTGAAACTCATATCCTTGTTAGCTGTGCCTTTCTAATTGAGGCAAAAAATTAATCGGAATTTTTTAACGAAATGTACACATTATCATTGTAAGTGAATCATCGCGAATAATACTGCGTGCACAGTAATTGTACATTAATTACCGAAACAAAAGGGGCAAGCGATAAATAATGCAATACCGATTTTCTACCAGGGAAGTGTTCCGCAAAAGTGTAACACATCGATGTATGTACTTTCTTCTGTCTGCGAGTATACATTGACGATCTGTGAGTGCATCAGTGTGTATTTTGCTCACGTGTATATATCCGTTCCATGTTGCGTACGTGTATGTACGACTTTTACACCTCAACCAAGTGGCCGAGGTACACGTTAATAAACTCGCAACAGCACTCTATTTACTCCGTCTGAGGGTTGTCTGTCGTCGTTGACGAACTCGCTAATTGTCCAGGGAATTTAAGGAAGCTCGCTAATTACGCTGACAAATTCTTTCGCGTTCACTCTCTGCGTCACGTCGATGCTTTGATTCACTTCCCGGATATCGGGTGTCAAATATGCGAATCCGAATGATTCGGTGATACAATTTTAAAGGTAGAGATAGACTAACGCAGAGTATTCGAGGAGTATTCTCAAGTATTCTTATTTGTCGAGCTCACTGGCCGAATGATTATAGGCGTTTAGGAATGTTTCAGATGATTCACTAGACGTTCGTGACGCCTACTGGTGTTTAGAATTTAGAAGATTGACGACACGGAAGTTCCTTAAAAATTGAGTTAAGAGAATACGATGTACTTGATCGTGGGTGTGAATAGGTATTTAAATGACGCATCGTTTATAAAATTAGAAGTACAGGCGTGATCGTTTACTTTATTGAATACTTTCGGAATACGTCTGCGATTGAAGATACTATAAGGGGACTAACATGAATCTTAGGTATCGTTTCTTAAACTTACCTCCTTTGTCGGAAGAAGTACCTGTACCATTCTTTCTTTGAATCTTACATAAAATAACAATATATTCAGCTTCTATCATCGATATATCATTAGATGTGATATAATATATGTAGAACCACCAGAAAGTAAGATAAAGTAACATATCGTTTCAAATTCATCATAGTTTCATCGTCTCTTCACTCAGAATTTTCTCTTATATCGTCAACGACTGCTATCAACCTGCTAATCAATGCTCTCTACGGCATATTGTTTCAAATATTCCAGCAATCCATACAGCTCGAGAACTAAAACAAACTCGTCGATAAACAATTCATCCATCTTCGTAATTACTTCCTCCATTTTTTTTCTACCAGTGTTAATTGAATGGAAGCACTTCAAACGCGAATGTAATGTAACTACAGACGGATGACCGCCTGTACAGTGATATCGGCATGTGCATGGAAGACACGTTCGACCAATAAAATCGATGGGACAAGAATAATAGCTGTCCGTGATTGATCGAACGAGAGAGAAGGAAAGAGAGAGAGAGAGATCGTGTCCATGTGTTTCAGCAACGTCGTGCATAATATTGTGCACATGGTGAATAGCTCGTAATGTCGTTGCACGGCTGCTAATAACGCGAGGTCCACAACCTGCGAGACTCGTCTGGTGGTCGTCTAGAGTGACGTTGATACCCGTTAATTGCCGTAAATTTATGACCCTTGGCGACAAAAGCAGAAAAAAAGAAATGCAAGACGCCAAGGATGTGTTCCTATTGTCGCGTCGGTGGAGATCAAAGGCAAATAAAGAGGCTATTTAAGCATGTAGGATGCCCATGGGATGTCTATAGTTTGACGTTGTTACACTCGTGTACCTATTCTACTCGAGATAGTTCAGCATTTTATATCGAACGCGCAAGACGATAATGATATTTCCATTTATTCCTTCCTTTTCGATATTCGAATGAACATAGTAAAATTTGTGATGCAAATTTATCGTAAATCCGATACGAAGTTGCTTTTATGCGTTAATGGCATTCTTCTTTGTTTTCTAACAACTCCATTATGTATATGTACCGAATACACTGCACAAAACATGAACACTGTTCCTGTTCCTTTTGCAGTCTTTTCTAATGGATATGTTTTTCCTTACTTTCGCAGCTGTGTCTTGCAATCGCGTGCATATCGAATGGTTACTCGTGCTCCTTTTTCTGTAAGTATTCTAAATGCTAAAGGATTATACATGTTGCATGTGAAGCGCATAAAAAATTTAAATAACAAAATTTGCCCTTGCGTTGAATATACAGTGCACCATTCACCTCGTATTTCCATTGGTTAAGCAACTCTTATTATTCTTTTATTGCGAGTTCGCTCTAGTAGGAAAGAGATTCTTATCCGTAAGGTACATCTGGCTACGGCATTCGTCATCCACAATTTCTTCCCTTCCGGATTCTCCTCGTCCAGTAATCATCGTATCGTACATCTTACGAACTCGAACCAATTACGAGCCAATAAGATTTCCCCTAGCGGATTGATTGTAGAGTTCGCGGAAATTGCCGATTACCAACTCCCTGTTCTATAAAACGAAACACCCGATAGAGTCCATTTCATACATGGAGAGTCTGCAATCGGATCAGAACCAAATGCTGAAGAGTAATCATCGATCGACTGCGGTTCTCCCGATATAAAATCACGTTTCTCATCCGGTTCATCCGTTCCTCTGTGAAGAAAATAGTTGGGAATAGGGCACAGATGAACGAAAATTCAATCTGCTCGTTTGATTTGCCAGTTACTTTAGCACGGTCACACCTACATACATACGTGTCCAGAAATACGTGTGCAGTGTCACCGGCAGCTTCTTCATCCCCGCCCACGACGTCTGTAAAATTGGTCGGCTTGGTCGTTCTAGTTCCGCAGGATTGCATCTCCCGTTCGCCCACCTCGACCATCATATTTATAGAGGCACACTCACCTCTTCTCTGCCTGCTTGCACGTGTTGTTTGTTATTTCTCAGTGAATAGATAATCTGACTGCGATATTCGAGAGTTCTGAAAGGGAGTAAATTAATAAGCGCACGAAGTCGATAGTAATAATTGATAATTTGTTGGATCGTGTGAGTTTAGAAATTCGATAAGATCAGTTGGATCGTCGATACTCCTCGAAATAGAGATTCGATTGGATAAAGGTATGCTTTTGATATATCCTTTAAGTGAGATACAAAGGAAGATCGAATTATCAAAAATTCGAAACATGTTATTTTCCTTTAATTAAATCTTTTAATACAATACTTTCCACGTATATTTAAAGTTTCGTCGGAACATTTATTTTTTACTGTGCTCGAAACGTGTTAAGAAAGATTGAGGGTAGTTTCTTTTTTGAGCGGGACGAAATTCGCAGAGTTATTCGGCCATGTCTATTTTAATTGCATAGTAACTTAACGCACTGTAAATATTTGCTACGTTTAACGTTGACAATCGTAACAGAATATTTTCTACATCGCTTTACGTTGCTCTGATTCTTTTCTCTGGTTATTAATCTTCAAATTTATTATTAACCTTCGTATGTGATCTTACCTAATCGCCTCAACTTTTTAAATTCCACTAGATCCATTTAAAAATACGTGCACAGTAGTAAAACTTATTTTTCGCGACAGGTAAATGAAATAATAAAACAAAATACGTTATCTCGAATTGAATAAAAATTATCTCCAAAAATATCCATTATATCCGTCTGTTGTATTTCAGAACTCCATCACCTCTTTCGCGAGAGCAGGAATAGCTACGACTCTTACATTTATCGTCATTCCTGTGCCGACATTTTTCATCGTCTCTCACATGTATTTAGGTATCTTATGTGCAAAGGATTCTGGGTCAAAGAAAAACCGTGTGAACGTGAACACAGAGGAAAAGAGCGCGCCAGCTGAAAATGGCTATTGATTTTTAGGCGGCGTCCGCGGTCCTCCTATATATATATGTATATATATATATATATATTTGAAACAGAAACTTTTACTTTTAACAGCCGCAGGTGTAGTCTCCATTGAACCGAGGTTCGACAACACAAGAGCTTCTTGTCACGTTTACTCGTCACGGATCACGGTGGATTTCATTCAGACCTCCTTTCCAACCACGACACTCCCAACGTTCCAACAGCTTTCTTTCAGTCTTGGTCATTCCAAGCTGTTTCGAAACTATCCACGCTTCCCCATCGATCGATCCAGTTACCACGAAAAGATTCATTAACGTTCGATGCAACACTGACAGACAGACACGGAGGAACCTTATCGCGAAGAAAATCAAACGAATGTTGAATGAAAACAATCGTCGATGATCGAATAATGTTTCCGTATAGATTATTCATAGGGTTCGATAAATTGCTGAAACACGTTCGAAAAGGTGAGAAATCCGTGGGATGAGTAGAGGCATGAAATCTGGTTGGTTGGTTGGTTCGAACGAAAGTGTCCCTGGTTAAAATTCTTCCGCGGAAATATGTCGTCCCATTTCGCCAGACAGACTTTTTACCGGACCTGAAACCGTCTCATTCGTTGTATTTATAGACTGCTCTGTCCTCCTTGCTTCTGATCATTTATGTATAAAGGCCGTCGTTACTTTGTTCCACGGGGAACAGGTATTCTGCCAATGATACGCCGCTCCTTTTTGGTGCACGCGAGATACCTAAAGATAAATATGGAAGGAAAAGATCCGGGCGAATCTGGCTTCTGAACGTTTCTTTCGCGAGCCACCTTGCTCCTTTTCCTTTTTTACTTTTTCTTTTTTCTTCTTGTGTTGTACTTGGTCAGTTTGCTTGTTCTTTGTTTGCTCTTTGCTTGCCCTGTGCTTGCTCTCTACTCACTCTTTGCTTGCCTTCTGCTTACTCATTACTTGCTCTTTGTTTGCCACTTGAACGTAATTTTGATAAACAAGTTCGTTTTCAAAAATGGTCCAAGTCATACTCTTCGTTTCCGTATACGTATCTCGACTATCATCTTTGAAAAATGTTCTCCTGAGTTTTGTTTTCCAGCGTTACAATCGTGCAACGCCCCAACGCACATTTTTGACTCACAATTAGCCTACTTTCACGAAGTTCAGCATAGTCGTCATAATATTGCTCACAAATAAAGCTTACTCGAAAAAACATGAGAACTTACGGAACTAGACTTGGAATTAATGCTGTCGTCATTCAGAGATCGACTGAATCATCAATCATAGTAAAGACACCGAATTCATTCAAGGAACATCTTATACGATGTGATTGGAGATTCATAAACGCATAACGTTTGACCCAGTGATGATAAACATCAACCTATCAACGATCCCTTAATCATCGAGTGGAAGGACTTATTGTTCCACGTTGTTCCTCGAATCTGGAGCAAACGATCTCCCTTTCTTTCTCTCTTCCTCACTTTCTGGTCACAGAATAAACCGAGGCTATAATAGTGGCTTGGTTCCAAGTTCTTCTAAAACATGGCACCGACACCTTGCTACAGTAGCCATGGTCCGTTGCTCAATACTGTTCCTAGACTTCTAATAGATAACCCAGTGAACCGTTTGCCCGTTTGCGCTCGTTCCTTAAACCGTGTCCAACGTTTAACATTCGGGTCACTTGCCCGATCAAGCGTCGCAGGTGGTACAAACCTTACGGTAAATTTCTGTACGCTCTTTTCAATAGGCCGTTGTCGATGCGCGTGATAGTCGCTCGTTTTGTTAAAAAATAAACTTCCTCGTGCAAATCGTCGGGATGGTTTATTGCGAAGAAGTTTTCTAAGGATTGATAAGATATTTGTGTCAATTAATTCTTGCAATTCAGTTGATGTTTTCTCGAGTATAGGTAACGGTGCGTGAATTGTGAATACATAGTTGAAGTGATGAAGATGGTGAAATGAAGAATCGAGGGTATACTGTTGGGTTTATGTGAGGATGTTGGTATCAGGATTTTTGCGCTTCAGGTAACTCTTATTGAATCGCGTAAGCGATGTTTTAGCAGTAGTAGCTCACAGGTAGAGTAATTTGAAACTATCTTGCAAATTGTCTGAATTTATCTTGGTTTCATTATCGTTTATTATGGTTCGAAGACATTCGTATAGCTTATTGAATTTTAACTCCATTTTTTCGTTGTTTTCCTGTTATTATCTTCGGTAGTAAAAATAATAAGAAAATGTCTGAAATTACTGATAAAAGTTACCGAGTCTTTGAAAAAGACTGTAAGCAGTTACCATTATCGCGCTGGCAGAACCTGCGCAATCTGCCTGAGAACAGATTTATTGGATGACAAGCCTTCTCTGCATCATGAATCAAATTTACTACGCTGATAATTTTACTCTAATCATTATTTTGCTTGATGGCATTTTTTATCGCCATAACCATTTTTCTATCTCCATCCCACACGAAACCGAACAAGTGATATTTTCAAATGGAAAATATCTCGGTTTAAAAGATTTCAGAATTTATTTTTACATACACACTTCATATGCATAACTCTTCGACTTAGAGAAGAATTAGAAAATTTCGGGACTCTGTTATAGTACGTTTCTACTGAAATGTTTAAGAATCCACCGGGAGACCCGAGTTTCGTTGCTTCTTAGAACGGCAAGTGCCTCTCGAAAGAACAAAGGTAGAAGAAGCGAAAAGTATGAGAGCGTAGGTATAATGTGGACGTCAGATGACGCTCGTTTGCCCGGACAATTTGTGATAATGACCGGAACAGCTGATCGTGTGTGCACTACGAGAAACGATTCCTCCTATGCCGGCGTGAAACACCGTGTATATCTCAATTTGTACCACCTTTATGCGTATTCGAATTCCAACGATCGTGATTATGGCTTTATGCCCGCTTTCATCGCGTTAGGTTCAACTACCAATCGTGTGCGCGTTAATTTTCCGCGATTTTACCTCTTCATCGTACATGTATTACTCGTAATTTTCTTGCAAATTAATAAGGTATTTAAACTCATGTTGTATCTTTTCTTATTCATATTATTCATTTGTAATTGAGGCCAGTCATAAAAAAATGATGCGCATAAGTACATAATTATAAGGTATATATCATCTTCGAATTGCATCTTCTGTTTTCAGAATGTTTAAAGAATGCATTACAATACCCCCTCAAAAAGGAAATTGGTTTTAATTGCATTACTTTTTGTTAAGTAATAGATATCCTGGTGAAAGGTTTGAAATAGCATGCCACTGCTCCATCAAATGATTCAGTTACAAATTTCTTATTACAAAATTGATAAAGATCAGGTATAGATTGATTCTAAACGTAAAATTCTGGTGAAATTATTATGCAGCATTAGAACGAGTAAGTATTTCTGCTGATTCGGATGCGGATATCTATATCCTTGTTAGGGTGCACGAGATGGATTATAAGTGTGAGTTTTAGCCTAATGATTAACAGCATCCGGAAAAGAAACGTCCGAGTAATTTCCGTTTTCAAATTACTATGTCAGACGCATTAGTGAAGATACGAATCGTGAAAATCACGTGGTTAAAGGGGTTTCTTAACGAGTGTAAAAGCATGTCTAGAAAACGCGTCCAATTTCGAAGTTTGCACGATGGGATCGTTAATGAACTCGAACGCTTTTTACCCCGATGTGATACAAGTTAATTTTAATGACGTGAAAGAGACATCGCCGGTGAACGAACTGTGCACGCGTTAATTACTTTTGCATCATCCAGTTAGAAGAATCGCTTCTCGTTGTTGTAATGTAACACGACACGAATAGACGACGAAAAATTTCTCCTGTAACTAAATACCTTGCAAATTAGTTCCATTAACGCATTACTATGGACAAAATTTGCACACACCACACATCTTATTAACGCGTTCTACATTTCGTGGCCCACATGCGTGGTACCAATGTATCTTTTCGAGATATATGCGTTTTTTGACACGATGGTTCGATTCTACTTTCTACTAAAAGAAGATGTATATTTTATGTAATAATGATATTAAACTGGTAAACTTTATATAATCTAGAAAGTTATTATAAATATCTTTAGTATACATCGTTGTTATCGTCGGTAAAGAAAAAATAATAAATTGGATTACGTTGATCTTAATATTAATATACAGTAATTACTGTTTCGTCGGACACTAATTTCTTAGACGAGGTAAAATTAACTTACGTTAGGCTGATTTTCATAAACTTATTAGCTGGCGTAAGTTTTATAATAAACGTTCATCGACCTTCGTTATTAATTATACTTTTTCCGGAAGCGATGTCCGAGGGAAAATAAATAACCGTGACAACTATTTTCATCATCGAGAGAGATTAAAATAAAAATATAAAGAAAAGCCAATACCGCGTGGCAGATCAATCACCGATACTTTAATCTTTCGAACATGCGTACTTTCATTCGCCTATGAAATCATCTTCGTAATACATATAGTAATTTATTATAGAAAGTGATCAACATTCGCATAATTGTAAAGAAATCGCGCATTCGGATAATTAATCTATCTGCAACATTTACAGTTTCATCAAACGCCTTTATAATTTACATTCACTTAACTCCCATACTAATCATATCTCTCTCCGGAAACACTATTTGAACAAGATAAAACAGCCCTAACCCAGTTACGTATTTCTAACATCTTAATCGAGAAACTTATCAATATGCTAATCTTAAACGAGCATCTCCTTCTCAATAAACTCTCTAAACTTTATCGACCAAACAAAATTCACTCGATTATGAGCATTCCAACCAATCACTATCTCGAGCAAATATAATTTCTCATGCAACGTGAGCTTCTCGTTCGTTCACCTTCCAATATTAATTATAACCACTTCGGGAAGTGTAGTATCAGCACGAGTAAACGCCTTAATAATTATTTCTGTCATCGAAGAGTACATATATATATACTAGAAAAAAAAGAAAAAGAAAAAATAGAGGGGAAGAAAGAAAAAGAAGAGGTCGTTCCTGAGACGGTCGATATCACGGTGAGAGCTTACTTTGATCTCCAGAGGATGTCCATGGGGGAAAGTTTCCGCGCTTCCGTTTTCACGGTGCGTAATACACGAAGGCACACGAGGACGGTGGCGAGGCAAAGGCATTTGTGGCAGGAGCGCGGAGTTATCAGGTCGTAAGTTCAAAGAACCGTGTGTAAGAGCCATCGGGTGTATCGACTGCGATGCGGCACACGATATTACGATCGTTTGCGAGGACGTGACCGTGCATAACGAGTCATTGTACGGCACCGGGAGAAATTAACGCTCGTTCCCGTCTTGCGAGATAAAATTGCACGCCTCGAACTCGTAATTATCGGCCAACCAGCCAAAAGATGCAAGCGAAAATGTAGCTTTCGTTCTTGACGATGATACTCGGAAGTGTCTTTGTTCGTTAATCGATTGATGAGATGAACTTGGAATCCGCATTGTTGTTAGAGTCGAGACAGATCTCGTGATTGTTCTTTAAAGATTTAAATAAAACTGTGCATCCTTTCAGTGCAATAAATTTTCTTTCCTTCTCGAAATTGTATGATATACTGATGTAGCATTCTCTATTTAAAAGATTTACTGGAACTTCCCTCGTCCCAGGCATTGATCAATAATATACGTAATCTTGACTAAATGTATCTTGAGCAATTCAATTCTTTTTCACGATTCATTCATCATTTAACTTCATTCCTCTAAAAAGAACGCATAATTAAGTAGTACAAAAACAGTACATATATATACATGCTTCTAATTACTTCGTTGCTCCATTTTCGATTATAACAGTTTAAAAAAATGTTAGTGTTAGTAGACTTGCCTTAGTAATCTCTGTAGTGCATTAGAAACTCCACGATGCGCTACAGCGTAGCAGACTAATCCGCATGAATTATGGGACTCGTATCGCGGAAGTCGTTTCTAAATTGATTCGTAAATCAATAGCAGAGCGTGACCGAATCTCTCTCCTCCTCTTCTTCCTTTGCCTCCTCTTTCTCTGCCTACGAGTTTGTGACTGATACGGGCGCCAGCACATCGCCACGATTCCCGGCTTCTCGCTGTATTTAGCTCGCACTTATCGGAAGACGAGCACCGATGATCTGTATGGTCGAGTCGAATCGCGAAAGGCACGCAGAAGGCATGTCGACCAGCACCTCGTGACATTTCGAATGGCTCGAAGATGGTCCGGGACGACCACCTCGCCTAGATCTGCCTATTCACTGAGGTCGTTCATTCTCTCGATTACGAGCTCCATGATATTAATCAAATTAAAATTTTCGTTTTCAATCCTGTTGGTAAACCATTTTTATATTATAGTGAGATCATTGTTTTTTGAGATTCCTTCTCTTTCTTAGTAACACAGTAAATCGTTCAAATTGATCCGAAAAACATGGCGACAAGAAGACGTGCAGTAGATTAAAGTAGCAATCTAGAAAGCAATTAAGGTAACATTATTTTATTATTTCATACTTTGAAAGGTGTTTTTTCTTATTTTTAAATTAAATCAATTACTAGATGTCATATAATAATAAATACAAGGTGAAGACAATCAATTTTAATCAACCATATCGTATATTATTGAACATTATACTATGGTATTTTGAATTGGTTGAGAATGGAAACAATTACCTGACACAATTTCCTTGTACGTTGTTCCTCTTTTACTCTGTAGATCTCGTTACATTTACCACGTTATCAAGAAGAGGATGGTTATTTCTAGGCTCGTTTCTAGGCACTCACCGATAGGCTTACCCTACGCGAGATAATAGAAAATCGATAGGAGCAGGTTTGCAGTTTCAGGAAGCAGACGGAAGCAGCGTCACGTGCTTCGCAGAGGAACATTATGGAATTACGCTTGATTTTTGACGTATCGATCATTGAATAATCCAATTGACGTAAAACTGGAGCTACACGTGTTTCTGTCTATTTTCTGTGCCTGTTCTTCCTGCAACATTAACATGCCGTGTACATACATAAAATGAAATACGATATATTTGTTCAAATTACTCATTTATCGATATAATAGTCTTCTATATACGCAATAGGAAATACTCGCTGATTTAATTAATAATAATAAATACTTCAAACTTACGAAATGATTTACTCACGCGAATCAACTTACTTTACCATTATCTTAAATCATATGTATATTCTTTTGTTAAAAATTCGATTTTTCTTACCACATTCGAGTTGTCGTATCGATTATCGAAATGCGAGAGATCGATGCGTTCGAGCATTTAATTCCAAGTCGAAAGCAAATCGCTATGGCATTGTTCCTCTTAAACGACTCGATATTTCCTCGTAAAATATTGAACAAAAATAAAACGTGGCTATAGTAAAAATATAATAGTATAGTAATAAATCAGTGCCCCCTCTTGAGGAAAGAAAAGAATTACGTAACGAGTCAAAAGAAAGTGCAAAAAGGTTGAACAGAATAAATACTATCGATTAGTGCACTGGTATTTAGGTGAATTATAGTGATCACACGTGTTCTTCGTGTTCCAGATTAACTTCCCACCTGAAATTTTATGTATCATTATTCTATGTTCTTTGATATGTTTGTTCCGTGAATTTATCTTGTACATTAATCTTTTTGTTAATCAACATTCGCTCCGTACTTACTGTCTGTGGAAAGTCGTAAATTATTTCTTTATGAATTTAATTATAAACTATCGTGTTGATCAATATATATTTCTTCGTTAAATGAAATTCGATGATTTTCTACATGTCCTATTTTCATACTACTTGCGGACAATCGTCGATAAATCTCGATCGGAGACGAGTAACCCACGACGTACGATTAATCGATTGAAGTTGTTGCGGGACGAACTTTGCGCGCAACTTCACATAGTTATCGAAAAATGAGAATTTGATTTACTTTTTATTTACTTTCAACTATATCTACATTACTATTTACTTCTATTTGCATTACTACAAATAAAATTAATTTCTATTTGCTTTCAATATCGTTGCGAATAATAACAGAAGAAAAATACAATAATCGTAGTAGGAAAGAAGTGTTCGTAAATATGAATTTATTGCAGGTTATGATAAACTGACACGATCTTCATCGCAAACTGAGAAAGACAAATTCAGAGAAAATGGATCATCAGCAAACGGGTCGGAAGCAAACGATGAACTCGTCAGAAGTGGCGAAAGCCAACGAAGAGTTCGATCTGTTTTGCAATGCAACCACTCTGAAGTCCATTCTTGGACACTTCAGACACCTCTGTGAGCTGCTTAAGATAAGGCCAAACACGATCAGTCAATTCTATCCAAAATTGAAAGCAAAGTTGCGATCATGGAAGGCCCAGGCCCTCTGGAAGAAGTTTGATCAGAGAGCCAATCACAAATGTTATAACCGTGGCAAAGCATGTCCGAACTCAAGGGTAAGCACATAAATATTTTACATAAATTTGAATCGTTTTATTTACTGTCCATGTTAATTTATTGTGTTTTGCTTTTTTGATGTTATAATACACCGGCTTCTTTCAACGTAAGTTCATCAATCTACCACAATTTACCAAGGTCATTTACAACGACAATGACAATCAAACTTTAAGATCTAAGTACACTTGTAATTTGTGTTACATCATCGTATTCCACAATAGATGTCTAATCTATCAACCTTCAACTTGTCGATGTTTTCGAAACTGCTACGGTGTATTCATATAGCTCAGTAATAAACTGATCTTAAAATATTATACATATCTTATATTATAAAAAGATTAAACATCTTTCTCAGTTATATTTCTTTCATTCTACGATTTCGAAGGAAGAAAAACAATCTTAAATTTAAAGTAATTGAAAAGAATAATTGTCTATATGAAGAAAACTATAATATTCCTTATTAAAAAAAAAAAATTGGACTTAATGTTTCTTAATAGGTTTTACTGTGAGAAAATTGAAATTTAAAATTATTAGTAATAAACGATTACAATATTCATTTTTCAGGTACTAATCATTGGTGGTGGTCCCTGCGGACTTCGTTCAGCAATAGAGGCGCAGTTGTTGGGTGCCAAAGTTGTCGTTGTTGAAAAAAGAGATCGAATGTCCAGAAACAACGTCCTTCACCTTTGGCCCTTTGTCATCCAAGATCTTCGTGGTCTAGGAGCGAAGAAATTCTTTGGGAAATTCTGCGCTGGTTCTATCGATCATATCAGCATTCGTCAGCTTCAGTGTATCTTGCTAAAAGTTGCTTTAATCCTCGGTGTTGAGTTCCACGAAAGCGTTAGCTTCGATTCATTGATACCGCCACCGGAGAACCAGGAAGAGGGCAGTGAGTAATCCAACCTTTCTAGCGCTCAATCAATCCCTTCTGATTGAATAATTGACCCTCTGGTACATGAAAGTTCATTGATATGTAAAATTTGCTGACTGTTTTAGTTTATTCCATCTTTTTTCAAAACCATAATTGATTATTATTTTCTATAAAAAAGAAGATAAAGGAAAAACGCACAAAATAAAAAATTTGAAATAAATGACCTATGAAAGAGCAACTTATTTCTTATTTAAAATCTCATTGGGTATACAAAATTTTTTAATTTTATAGATGAGATATTATAACTTTATTTCTGCGCCACAAAAGTACATAAGTAAAATAAATTCTTTAAACCTTTTTTTTTTTTTATAAAAATTGCAATTATTTATTGTAAAGTCTGATAACATTGATTAATACTAACGAATAATTACTTATTTTATCATTTTTTTAGAAATTGGTTGGAGGGCAAAAACCACCCCTGCCGATCATCCAGTTTCTCAATACGAGTTCGATGTTCTAATCGGCGCTGATGGCAAAAGGAATACGTTGGAGGGCTTCAAACGTAAAGAATTTCGGGGTAAATTAGCTATTGCAATAACAGCAAACTTCATAAACAAACGTACTGAGGCGGAAGCACGGGTAGAAGAAATCAGTGGGGTAGCCTTTATCTTCAACCAGAAATTTTTTAAGGAATTATATCAGGAGACGGGGATAGATCTGGAGAATATTGTATATTATAAAGATGACACTCATTATTTTGTCATGACTGCTAAAAAGCATAGTCTTATAGACAAGGGAGTAATCCTACAAGTACGTCATTATATATAGATAAATATGCATCCACCAAGCTGTACAGTGGTTATAGAGTAGAGATAATTAATTTTAATATATCTCAGGACCATGCAGATACGGCGAAATTGCTCGCGAAAGAGAACGTGGATCGTGAAGCATTGATGCTTTACGCCCGGGAGGCTGCTGAATTCTCCACCGAATACCAAATGATAGGTATGGAATTCGCAGTGAACCATTATGGTCAGCCAGACGTGGCGATGTTCGACTTTACGTCTATGTATGCGGCGGAGAATGCTAGCCGAGTTTTGGAGCGCCGTGGTCATAGATTACTTATGATCCTCGTCGGTGATAGTCTGCTCGAAGTATGTCGTCTGATGTCTTTAATTTGAAGTGTTATATATTACTATCAATGCCGAATAATATTAACAACGTGTAGTTTTTTAATATGTTACAAAATTGAATATAAAATCATTACAGCCATTCTGGCCAACGGGATCCGGTTGTGCGAGAGGATTTTTAAGCTCTTTAGACGCTTGTTGGACAATTAAAGGATGGGGCGCAAATGTATCACCACTGGAAGTAATTGCTGAACGTGAGTCCATATACAGGTTACTTGGACAAACTACGCCTGAAAATTTAAACAGAGATTACGCTGCTTATACATTGGACCCGCATACTAGGTGTGATATAATATAATATTTAATTAAAGTTAAATTGAAAATATATCTAGTATTATTTATTTATTATTTATTTATAATTTCTCTTTTTTTTAAGATACCCGAACTTGAATGCCTCTTCTGTAACACCAATACAAGTGCGAAGTCTACTTGATACAGATGATCCAGATAGCATTAAACAGCCTGCTATACAGTCTGATATTGATATTCCCAAAAAACGGCGTCGTCGTGGTATGAATGAATATAATTTGATTATATCTGTATTAAAATATTATGAAGATTATTAAAACTATAAATGATACAATATAGATCTACGTGGAGATTCACAAGTACACCCAGACATGTTGCTTCGCTGGCTGCAAAAACAAGTTGCTCTGTACGACTCGGTCCAAATAAAAGATATGGGTGTCTCATTCAAAAATGGTCTGGCTATTTGTGCAATAATTCACAGATATCGTCCAAACCTAATAGACTTTCACAATTTGAACCCAGACGATGCGATTACAAATAATCAGTTAGCTTTCGATATCTTAGAAAAAGAACTGAGCATACCTCCAGTAAGTTGTACTTAAATACATATTATAATTTATCGATGTAAAAAGTAACAAAAAATAACTTATCATTTAAATTGTGAATTTTTATAGATAATGACTGGGGAGGAAATGGCTCAATGCGACGTTCCCGATAAACTTGCCATGTTTTCTTATCTCACACAGATATACGAGGTTTTCCGTGGTGAAATCCCGTACATTAAACATCCAAAATTAGTAAGTAAATTCGTAAGATGTAGAACGAAGTCAGAAGATTTTTAACCGATTTCCGTATTTTATAGTGTTCAGTATCATATCCAATATCACGGACCGAACAATTACAGTCGCCAGAATACCTTTTAACAAGCAAGATCCATCCTTGTTCACCAACGTCCGATCCTCCTTCCTATTGGAATAATAATCCGTCATATATCGCTTATAGTCAAAGAACAGAATCATTATTATATTCTATCCCTAGAACATTTTCACGACACACCGCTATCGAATCATTAGACCACAATAATAACAAAATATCGTTAAATGCAAACATTACAGAAGTGGATGACAGATTTACGATAAGTTGGATAAGAAATAAACTTCAGAACAATATAGTTGCATCGTCATTGAAGAAAATATTCGAACCACCAAATCTCTTCAGTAGGAATCACGAGTGTTGTCGTTTGGATAATAGCAAAGTTAACAAGAAGTTACTAACTATATCTCATTTTTTATAATTAGCTATTTTCATCACTATAGTGATTCTCTTAATTTTTTTCTTTTTTGTATAATTGTATAACGATTGCATTTGATCGTCTTTTATGAAGGAACCTGAAAACGAAGAAAGGCCCGCACATAGTAAGCAATTGAGTCAATTAACACCTGACCGTATCGTCAGACAAGATAGTGCGACAAGAACGAGACACTCACGATCGCGACATAACGAAAATTTAAATCCCGCGGATAAGAAGGGGGACACGATTAGCCGACGTTCTCGAAAGAGACGAAGCACTGAGAAGATGGGTGCGACAGTGGTAAGTTTTCCATTTTATTTTCTGAAATTATAAAATATCATTTAATGCCCATAATATCGATTACATTTTACATGTACTATCACGAAAAGTACAGGTTCATATACGTACAATTCTTTACAAATTTTTAATCATGTTTTTGAAAGCTTCTCTAGTTACCAATCCATTGATTACCAAATCATCCAAGGTTAAAACATTAATTTTTTAACGCAATATCAAAATCAATTCTTTGCATCTTTCACTTGAAAATTTTTTAAATATTCGTAAATGCAAAGAATTGAATCACATATTTAACGCTTTATGGAATGGTTCTCCTAACTTACTAGCTTAGGTTTCATTCGTTATATAGAAATATTCCATAAGGGGTTATAAATAGAACACTAACATTTCACACACAAAACTCACAATGCTTATATCCTGTAGTCTCGGTGGCAGAAGATTGAAGCACTTATGTATCGTGGGATAATCGTATCGTTATTAATCTTAATTATTGGAGTTACCATTACCATGGTGCAGAAGGAAGTCATTACATTCTAATTGCCTCGTATAGTCAACCAAAGTATCAGTGGAATATTACAAAAACTCTTGGTTATGTCGTAAACATTTTCAATGATATTTATGTTTATGTTACATATATAATATATTTGCTACGCCAGCTTTTGTATTCGTCCTATTTTACTAAAAATTTACTTTAAACAAATAGATTATGTTGAACTATCTCCTAATTATTACAACTAGTGTCCTCTTAGGGAAAAATAAATTAATCATCTATTTTTGTTCTTTTTCTTCATTTTTTTTTTTCCTTTTTTCTATTATTGTAAAGAAAAGTACTTTAGTGTTTAACATCTTAAAAAAATTTAGCGTAGTCAAACTTGAGGTGAAGAATCCTCGGTCTTTTTTGTCCTTTTTGCATTTTATTTATCCATTGTATTCGTTACGGATTTAATAAACAAGAACCACGTAACATAAGTTGTACAAATTGTGTAAATAATTGACAAATGAAAATTAAGCTGATATACAGAAAAAAAGTCATTGTAGTTATGTAAATAAGTTGAATTAATGTCACTGTACGATTTTACGGTGGACGTAAAGGAGGAAAGGCAGAAGAGACTTGCAGAAATAGAGAAAAATCGCGCAGAGCGTATGAGAAGGCGACAATATTTACGAAACATGGCGACACAGCAATTCTACAAAAGTATGCAGATGCTGCAAGCAAACGCAAAACGTGAGAAAGATGAGCCGTTCGAAGATTATTCGATATACTTATATCGTCAAACTGCACCGGATTTCAAGGATAGAGTGAAATACCTAGAGCAGAAAATATTATATCCAGTAAGCTGGAAAGTGAATGACTTTGGGAGTGTATAATGGTTTTTCATTTTTTGGAGTAAATTTAACAAATGATTAAACAAATCCTAATAAATAT